ACTTCCATTGGCTGTTGGGCGGAAAGGAAGGGGGTGTTGGCTAGGGGGCTGCGTGGACAAAGATAGGCGGAACTAATATTTCCTCCCCCCCCCCTCTCTAAAGTTGGGGGTGCAGGAGAAGTCGGAAAGGGAACTCTCCTGTGCTTTAGAGATGGGGAGGCAAAACGACCTTCATTTTTTAAATCCATGGCTGCTTTGCACCTGACAAACCCTGCAAAGCACAGCAAGCAGGTCCCTCTATGGCCCAATGGATGTGTGTGGGTGCGCCTGTGACTATACAAACACACAACCCATGCACATCTCTCAGAGAGAGAGAGAGAGAGAGAGAGGGAGAGGGAGAGAGAAAGAGAGAGATAAATCCCTCCCCTTCATTACAAGGAAGGAACTTCTCAAGCTGAACTGCGAGTGGTTTGCCACTGCTCCTACCAGCCGGCTAGCAAAGGAACAGAATGCAGGAGGCAGTGATGATGAACTGGGAGTTTTCCGTGGCAAAGTCGAGCCCGGTGCCGGTAAGCGAGGCAGCCTTCATGGCAAGGCTGCAGAGCACAACCCCAAAGGCCCCTGAACCCCCCCTGCACCCTCCAAGCAGAGAGGATGGGAGCATCTCCACCAGGACTGTAAGTGATGCTCTGGGAAAAGAGAGCTGGGGGGGGGGCGAGCAGATTGCCGGGCACTGCAGAAGAGTTGGGCGTGTTTAACCTTCACCAGTACGGAGCTGATGTTGCAAAGCTTGGACATTAGAGGTGTACCTTTCGTTTGTTTCTCTCTTTTTAAAAAGATGCAGAACAAATAATAATAACCTTGTGGGCATGGTGAAGGGGGAAGCATGCACGTACAAACGGGTTTTTTTTGGGGGGGGAACTAGCATCCTTCAAGAAGCTTTGCGTGGACGTGTGCAAGTGGTTTCCCCCAAGGGGGGGGGCAAAGGGATTCTGCCATGGAGCCTCTTTGGGGGGGAGGGGTCTTGACTGCTTTGCAGGTGGTCTGAGAAGGAAATCCCCCTTCCCCACTTCCTAGGCTACCCATCACCCCTGGGAGATGGAGACTTGCCCAGAGAAGGGAAAGCAGGGGTTAAAAAAAAAAAAGAGGAAAGGTAGGAGGCAGGAGTTAAATCTGAAAGACGGTAAGGTTGCTTCTTTCTCTTCTCTGCATCGAGGACCATTTGCACTAGAGAGTTTTGCAGAAGTGTCCCTAAGTAAAGCATGGATCTCATTTAGATCTGTAACTTTACAGGACTTTTCTTCTTTGAGAATATCAGCACCGACTTGTGTCTGAGGACGCCATTCTTCCTGCTCTGTGTGCAGATGGACTAGAATAAAATATTATATAGACAGGTAGAGAGAGGGGATAGATAGATAGATAGATAGATAGATAGATAGATAGATAGATAGATAGATAGATGATAGATAGATAGATAGATAGATAGATAGATAGATAGATAGATAGCGATAGATGAGAGAGATGCTAGAGGTATATGTGTATGTATGTATGTGTGTGTGTATATATATATACATATATATAAATATATATATATAAAATCACTACGCATCCTTATTAGAACACAGAGATGCACATACACACAGAAATAATCTTGTTGCTTCAATGCACACCATCCTGGTGTGAAAATCCAAAATCTTTGATGGGTGTGTTAATTTTATTTCTGGAGATGTAGGCCTAAATTACCAGGAAGGAGGGCAATTCTATATTTTTTGCCCAATAATGAAAATCTCTTACATTAGAAGTGCCATAAAATGAATTTTGTAGGCATGAAATGAGAGCTATCTCCAGAGGACGCTTAGCAGTGTTGCTTTCATAGGGAATTCTTAAACAGAACATCTGGGGGGGGGAGAGGAAGCTACCAAGACTGCACAATTGAAGCCCTGCCCCCCCCCCCTTTTTTTTGTGCGTCACACTCCTGTTAAAAAGGGCAGGACTTTGGTTGTGCTATTCCGGCTACCATTTTGACTTTTTTGACCACCCCACAAATCCAGATCTTGATTAATATCCAAAAGGTTGTCTCTCTTCCCTCACTCCCATCCCAAAATGAAAACAAATAAGCATAGACATCAGGTTGCATCGGATTCTTAAATTTTTGATGGGCTTCCTAGGAATCTGATACGGAATGAGAGAGAGAGAGATTGATTGGCTGGGCACTCATGAGCAAAAGGCAAGTATTTCTAAAATAGAAAAAAAAAAGAAAGAAAAGGATGGAACTTTGCTGTAATTGAATCTTGGCGTCATACTTGGACACAGCGGTAGGAAAGATGCTTAGGAGGTTTGCTTCTGAATCCACAAATCTTGTTGCTGTTGTTGTAGCAGGGTGTGGATTTAAAGTTCCAGACTTGTTTTCTTGAAGCTGTTCTCTTCCTCTGGCTCTCTCCCTCTCCCTCTCCCTCTCTCTCTCTCTCTTTTTTTTTTTTAAAAGAGAGAGCGTTCATTTGATAAAGAGGCTAGTGCAGTCCCTTTATAATGGAATCGATGGAGCAAACAGGGAGTGGGAGAAGGCAAAGCCAGGAATTGGGCCAAGCGAGGGCAAGAGCAAAACTTGGAACATCTCTGTTAAGTGACTGGCTGCAGAAACCCTGGGTTGAAGCTGGACGAGATGGAATTAAAAAGCAAGAGACTTCCTTTTATAGCAAATGCTGAGCAGTGAAGGGGACGGGGAGGTTGCTCCTCGTCCAATCTGCCTTTGGCAAGTTCCCCGAGAAACTTCATCAATGCCTTGACTTGGCCAGACTCCATATTGTTCTGCACACCACCAAACCTCATTCCAATGCGGAATCCTAAACATCTCATTCCTGAGCATCTTCTCCAGCGAGGATGCCTGAGATCTGTGGAAAGATTCACGGAAATGCTGCACAGTCAGTCCTCGACTTAACAAGAGGTCATTCAGTGACCGTTCAAAGTTACAACGGCCCTGAAAAAAGCGACTTTTTAAAAAAAAAATTGATTTATATGCCACCCTTCTCCAGAGACTCAGGGCGGCTTACAATGCATTAAGCAATAGCCTTCATACTTTTGTATATTTTTACAAAGTCAGCTTATTGCCCCCACAAACTGAGTCCTCAATTTACCTACCTTAGAAAGGATGGAAGGCTGAGTCAACCTTGAGCCTGGCGAGATTCGAACCTGCAGTAATTGCAGGCAGCTGATGTTAATAACAGGGTGCTTTAGACCACTGTACTAACAAGGCTCTTTTCCCCTGTGTCCATTTATCACACGGCCATTGCTGCATTCTCCCATGGTCACTTAATCAAAATTCGGATGTTTGGCAATTGATTCATATTTATGACAATTGCAGAGTCCTGGGGTCATGTATTCACCTTTCTGACAAAGTCAATGGGAAAGCCAGATTCATTTAACAACCAGGCTACTCACTTAACAACTGCAGTGATTCACTTAACAAGTGTGGGAAGAAAATTCATAAAAGGGGGCGAAACTCACTTAACAAGTGTCTTGCTTAGTAACAGAAATTTTGGATTCAAATGTGGTCAGTCGTACATCAAGGACTACCAGTACTCAGAATACGTAGTTCTCAGATTATTGGGATGACTGACAACTAGATTTGCATCTTCAGCCACCCTAATTCCAAAAAACCAGGAGTTGTTCTGCCCCAGCTACGGACCCCAAAGAACGCGGACACACAAAGTCTGTTCAAACCTTAGTTTACTAAATAAACCAGTTTTTTACAACAACGGCTGTTAATTAACTTCATTAACAGCTGCCAAGAATTCAAAGAATAATAACTGAAAGCTTACTGTGGTTGGCAGAATGCCCAGAAGCAATTTGCAGGAAGCTGATAAGCAAGACAAGACACGAAGGTATGTGAACAAAGTTGTTCCCTGCAAATTGCTTCAGTCAGCGTTCCTCCTTAAATAGGCTAAGGGAGTGGCCAATTAGCCCCAAGCCTTACTCTTGAGGAGACCTCCTCCTGAGGAGCCACTCCTGCCTTTTGGCAGCTCTGTGCGCCCGTGCATTGAGAAGAGGCTCCTCCTCTTTGTCCTCTTCACTTATGGGAGCTTCTGAAGGCCCTGGCTGAATCCCCCGCCTCTGGCACCACATCTTCTCCAGCCTCCTCATTGTCTGACTTGAGTGCCAGCTGCACAGGCTGCTGGCGCAGCACCACACCAGCCTCCTCGCTGTCCGAATCAGCTACTAACTGCACAGGCCACTGACGGGCTACAACAGGAGTCTTCAGCTTATTTATCACTTTATCCATTTCTTTAGCCCAGTCTTTTTTCGACCTGGCTACCATCCAGATGGGTGGACTTTAATTTCCAGATTCCTGAGCTAGAACTGCTATAGCTGAGAACCTTAGAATTCAGTCTACATCTCCGGAATACCATCTATATCCAATGCTTCTCTAATAATGGGGCAACTTAGATGGCAGGTAATCCTCGATTTATGACCACAATTGAGCCCCGAATTTGTGTTGCTGCGTGAGATCCTTGTTAAGTGAGTTTCGCCCCATTTGACAACCTCGCTTGCCACCGTTGTTAAGCGAATCACTGCAGTGAAGTTAGTAACCCGGTTGATAAGTGAATCTGGCTCCCACATTGACTTTGCTTATTAGAAAGTCACAAAAGTTAATCACATGTCCCCGGGACACTGTAACCATCATAAATATGAGTCACTTGTCAAGTGTCTGATTACCGCAATGGTTGTAAGTTTAAAAAAACGGTCATAAGTCATTTTTTTCAGTGTTTTATTTATTTGTTTGTTTATTTGTTTGTTTATTTATTATATTTCTATACCGCCTTTCTCCTGTAGGACTTAAGGCGGTGTATAGTAAGAAAAATATAGATACACAAACATCATAAAATTGCTAATTAAAATTATTATTATAACATAGTTTGGCCCAATTAAATAGAACCTAAAAATAGATAACATTTTAAAAACATTCACATGTTCATATGTTTAGCCCCGCTTGTTTTAACTTAGAACTGTCACTATAAGCAAACGGTTGTTAAACCAAGGACTACTTATTCTTCTCTCCAAAGATTTCATGTTGTGGCTAAGGGTGTGTGATGTCCAGAGCATTTGGAGGTCAGCCTGGCGGAGGTAACACCATGCATGTGATTGCTATTTTATAAACCGCACGGAGAGAAATCCCTACCCCAAGAATTTGACCATCTCTAATTGGAGACCAGGACAACAGAGAGGAAAGGAAAAGATGCAATTGCAGGTCAGTAGAAGAGAATACGAATTCACTTCAATGACATGAATTTACTGGATGACTAAGGGCATGAGATTGCAGAGCGCTTTGCCAAGACTCTGTGGAAAAGCTGGGGCTTGAACTGGAGTGTGCAGGGTGAAAGAGAAGCATATGTGGTCAGTAGCCATTACTGGACACCAGTTGCCAGGTGTCCAGTACAGGGGTGGGTTCTAAATTTTTTTACTACCGGTTCTGTGGGTGTGGCTTATTTTGTGGGCGTGGCTTGATGGTCATGTGACAATTCTTTAGGATTTAGCAGAGGTACTGGTCTACCAGGCTTTTAACTGCTTGCAGAGCTGTACCAGTCTACCCATTTATTTTTGCAGGCACCGGTCTACTCATTTGTTTTTGGAGGCACCGGTCTACCACCAAATTGCCTTTTACCACTGATCAGCTGTAGGGCGGCCCTTTGAAGCCCCGCGGCAAGAGTTTAAACAGTTTTTTTCCTTCTAGCCCATCAGCTGGGACTCAGGAGGCAGCAATAGATTGGGGGTGGGGCCAAATAAAAGGTAAGAATAACACAGGGGGGGCGGGGGGACAGAGCCGGTTCAGTGACGTCATATCGTCACCGCTACCGGGTCGGTGGAACCGGGCCGAACCAGGAGGAACCCACCACTTATCCAGTAGCCAGCAAAGAAAAAAAATAGAAGGAGTAGGAGGAAAAAAAATACCTGGGGTTGACTGATCATGGCTGATAAGCATTTGGGGTCAGTTGGCACATCTGGAATTTTGAGAGCTTACTCGCTGTGCTTACGCAAAATAGCTGCTAAGGGGAGCCTAGCCAGTCATAAACATCTGTTTCCCCCAAAGGACATAGATGAGCTTATTTCTCTGTCATCCACTTTTCCAAAACTCCACGGAAGATTTTTCCCTCTTTACAGCTTGTGTCCATTTTTCTGGACAGGTGGATGCCCTTCCATAAAAGAATTGCAATTAATCACCATGTGCCTTTCGGGGTGGGGTGGGGGAAATGTTTATGGACTCAGAAGCATTCTCGGCCATAAAGGAGATACGGAACACTAAAGCAGGGGTGTCCAATCTCGGCCACTTTTAAGACTTGTGGACTTCAAATCCCAGAATTTGCTGACTGGGGGATTCTTGAAGTCCACAAATCTTAAAGTGGCCAAGGTTGGACACTTCTGCACCAGAGCCTTATGGCAAATGTTTTCCCTTATTATAGGGCAGAAACATCAGTGGCTAGGATGATGGTGGAAGAGCAGAAGACCATCAAGAGCGTTGAAAGTAAAGACAATAGTTTCCAGGGGTGGAAAGAAATCAGTTAAAAGATTTAAGAGGGGACGCTGTGCTTAAGGAAGGGAAGGTGTGAATTATCCATACTAGGAAGCCCTGGGGGGTGGGAAATCAGGGGGATTTAGGAGATCTGGAAGGAGAGAAGATCAGATGGAGAAGACTGCAGGAGTCTAGCAAGAAATAACTAGGCCACAACTTCAATTTTCTTGACTGATGCTACAGGATGTAGCACCAACCCCGCTCCCAATGAGGAATTCAGGGAATTGCAAGTACTGCTATAATTTCTTTCTAAATATGCATGCAATAAATAAATGAAAGCAATACTTACAATCAGTAGGAAGAACGTTGGTACTTCCAGCGAAATCCATTTCAAGAACTCCTCCTCGTTTGTTTGTTTAGTCCTCTCCTCTGGCTTCCTTCACACAGCCCACCGAATTGGGTCATTGGTTAAACCTGCTGCCTGCATTTTGCACATGAAGATTCCAGACAGCTATTGTGTTTAAGGGTGGATTCTACACAAATAGTATAAATCCAGAAAATGGGATAATTTGGCAACTAGGTTAAATATATTGTCGTATGCCTCTCGTTTCAGCCAAGCAAGAACAGCCATAATGTTTTCATGCTGGTTTATAGGAGCCTTTTTTTTCCAAATGGGTATGTGTGTGAGTGTGTGAAAGAGAGAAATTCCTTAAGATTTGGGAAATATTAGAGATTATCCTGGGTATCAGCTATGTAATCTTTACCGTTCGGCCTTCTCGTCCCATTCCTGAGGCTGAGCCGTCAACACTGAATGTGCTCAAACTGACCCGGTGTTGCCTTTTTACTTACTTTAAGCACGTCGGGGCAGTTGTCACCGATATCATCTGTACTACACTACAAGAAGTGATCAACTTATGTATCATTCGTTTCATGACGGTTCAGAGTCATGATGCGGCTGAAAAAAATGACTTATCACTCGTCCTTGAAGATGACACTAAACTGGCAGGAAAAGCCAATACTCCAGAAGCAGGGGTGAAATCCAGCAGGTTCTGACAGGTTCTGGAGAACCGGTAGCGGAAATTTTGAATCGTTCGGAGAACCTGCAAATACTACCTCTGGCTGACCCCAGAGTGGGATGGGAATGGGGATTTTGCAGTATCCTTCTCCCAGGAGTGGGGAGGGAATGGGGATTTTGCAGTATCCTTCCCCCAGGAGTGGGATGGGAATGGGGATTTTGCAGTATCCTTCTCCCAGGAGCGGGGAGGGAATGGGGATTTTGCAGCATCCTTCCCCCAAGAGTGGGATGGGAATGGGGATTTTGCAGTATCCTTCCCCTGCCATGCCCACCAAGCCACGCCCACGGAACCGGTAGTAAAAAAAATTGGATTTCACCACTGCCCAGAAGATAGGCTCCAAATCCAGATGGATCTCGATAGACTTGAACACTGGGCCCTATTCAGCAAAATGAAATTCAATATGGAGAAAAGTAAAGTTGTACACTTAGGCAAGAAAAACCCAAATGTACAGATACAGATTAGGTGAAACCTGGCTCAGCAGCAGTAACTGTGAGAGGGATCTTGGAGTCCTAGTGGGCAATCACTTAAACATGAGCCAGCAGTGTGCAGTGGCAATCAAAAAAAAAGCAATACAATCCTAGGCTGCATTAAGAGAAAGCTAGTATCAAGATCACGTGAAGTATTAGTACCTCTTTATAAAGCCTTAGTAAGGCCACACTTAGAATACTGCATCCAGTTTTGGTCACCCGTATTATAAAAAAGTTGTTGAGATTTTGGAAAGATTTGCAGAGAAGAGCAACAAAGATGATTAGGGTACTGGAGGCTAAAACATATGAAGAATGGTTGAAGGAACTGAGTGTGTCTAGTCTAGTGAAAAGATGGAGTAGGGGTGACAGCAGTGTTCCAATGTTTGAGAGACTGTCACAAAGAAGAGGAGGTCAACCTATTTTCCAAAGTACCAGAAGTTAACCCAAGAAACAATGGATGGAAAGTAATCAAGGAGAGAAGCAACCTAGAACTAAGGAGAAACTTTCTAACAGTGAGAACAATTAACCAGTGGAACGACTTGCTGTCAGAAGTTGTGGGTGCTCCATCATTGGAGGTTTTTAGGAAGAGACTGGACCGCCACTTGGCTGAAATGGTATAAAGCAGGGGTCAGCAACCTGCAGCTCCCAAGCCGCATGCGGCTCTTTGGGCCCTCTGCTGTGGCTCCCTGTCAGGTGATCCCACCACTGGGTGGCCCCGCCCCTCGCCCTCCCTTCCCAGTCACTCCTTGCCTGGCCTGAGAAGGTAAGGGCGACGGTGGGGGATGGAGAAGTAGCCAGGGCAGAGAAAGGGAGATACAGAGAGAGAGGGAGAGAGGGAGGGAGGGGAGAGAGAGATATGTCAAAAGGATTTTGTGGTTCCCGGTGTTTTTTAACAACTGGTTCTCTGCCCTAATGACTGGCTGGGTAGGCGTGGCTGGGGGGGTGTCATGTGACTGGTGGAAGTGAGTGACATCGAGTTGGCCACGCCCACCCAGGTTTTGTGGCTCCCGATGTTTTCTTTTCTGTGGGAAATGGGTCCAAATGGTTCTTTGAGTATTTAAGGTTACAGACCCCTGGTATAGTCTCCTGCTTGCAGGGAGCTGGACTAGAAGACCTCCAAGGTCCCTTCCAACTCTGTTATTATGGTATTTTGTTATGATTTTTCCTGTCGTACCACCCACTGCGATGACATTATTGCAATTTGGATGCTTGGCAATTGGCTCACATTTGTGACAGTTGCAGTGTCATGTGGTCATATGATCATGGCCTGCAACCTTCCCAGCCAGCTTCTGATAAGCAAAGTCAGTGGGGGAAACTACATTCACTTAAAAACTGTGTGATTCGCTTAACAACTAGGGTGAAATGGTCATAAAACTGGGTCTAGTCGTGAGGTGACTAGATTGACAACTGCAACCAAAATACTGCCCCACATGTGGTCATAAGTCAAGGACTATCTATAATCAGGAACAAGTCTCCAGTTTGCTCTTGCCAAGAAGGCCTTTTCTTGCTAACTCCTAGAATGGTCTCCCATCTTATGTTCTCCAGATGTCTTCGATTAGGCTGCCCAGAATCTTCTGCCAGTGTGGCCTCTGGCATTCTGATAATGCTAATATAATATTCTGACAGTTCCCAATCAAAGCATCTGGAGCAGGGGTGGGTTCCTTTACTACCAGTTTGCAATGGGGCCGTGCACGCACTTCTGCGCATGTGCAGAAGCTTCCTGATGACATCGGGGTCAGTGGGCGGAGTCTCCCGCCAGTTTTACTACCGGTTCTATAGAACCGGTCCGAACCGGGGGCAACCCACCACTGATCTGGTGGGTACCAGATTGTAGATGGCTAGAACTGCAGTTGCCAAGGGCTGGATTTTTCTAAAGGCAATACATGGATTCTACCATAATTACAGTCTCTCCCAGGAGAGGAGGGGCAGGAGAGGTTCACCCAGGACTTTGGTGAGCGAGAATGAGACCCTTCCCTTCATCGCCCTTGTCTTCATTACTGTTATTTTTTTTAATTTTCTGTTGATTCTATGGTAATTTCAGAGGTGTTGAGGGTTAGATGGCATACAAGTTTCCGAAATTATGATAATTATTCCCAATAAGAGGTAGGGCCAAGCCAGGGAAGGAGCAAGTCAAGGAAAACAATGCATTTTATTTTATTTCTATAGAATTCACGCAAGGGAAATGGATCAATACTGA